CCTCTGCGCCACGGCGGGAACGCGGTGCCCCTTCGCTCGGGAGCACCCACGCTGCTCCGGCGGCCCCGTGGCCCTGCCTGCGGCCGTGAACAGAGCCAAGGCTTCAGAGCGAGAAAATTGGGCCTTTGAGGCAGCCCCCGCAGCCCCGAGCTGCCTCCGGCTGCAGCCACCGGCGTGGGGGACCCGGGTCGCGCCAGGACACGGGGGTGGCGGGTGACGCTTGGCGGGCCGGAAGGGGGGCTGGCAGGAGCCCAGGGGCTCTGGGGGGGGGGTGTTGGGGTGGCCCTGCTGCTGGGTGCCCCGTTGTGCACCCGCATGTGCCGGCTCTCGCACGGGCAGGCGGTGCCGCTCGCCACAGCACTTGCAGGGTTTGGGAGAGTTGCGGGGGGGGGGGGGAACACAGATGGGACCCTAAATCCCAAACAAGACTGGTCCTTTCAGCTCCCTCAGCCCACATTTCCCACTAAGGCAACAAGCACATCAGCTGCCTGCTTTTAAGCCCCCAAATATTTTGGGAATCCATCTCCTGCGCCTGCACGTCTGGGAGATGCCAGCAGCCCCTGGGGACTGTCTGTCCTCATCCTGGGAGCAGCAGCACTTGGAAAAAAACCACTGTTTTGCTGAATCAGGGCTGAGTGGAGATGCTTTCCCCAGGGTGAAAGACGTAGGATGCTGCAGCCTCTCCCTGTCTCCCATTTGGGGATCTCTGGCTGGGAAAGTGCCCTGGCAAAGGTTGGAGCATCCCAGGAGCTGGTCCATGGTCAACACACGCTCCTGGTGCCAATTCTGCCCCACAGCCGCTCACCACTGTGCCCGTTCTGCCCGGCTGGGTGGCACCAGCCACTTGCGAGCCCCCTGAGACAGGCAGGTTGTCTCCCTGCCACGCTGCGCTCCGGCTTGTCGCATCTTGTGTTACCCCCTATAAAACAGGAGCAAAGGTTGGAGCTGACACAGAGGGACGCACCCGGCGCCCAGTCTTTGCATCAGCCCCTCCCAGCACACCCAGCTCCCATCCATCAGCCAGTGAAGGGCGCGTGATGGATTGACCAATGGAGAAAAAAATTAATCAGGCTGGAGGTAGCTATGAATTACGCAGCTAAAAATACCTCTGCGGCATCTCCTGCCGAGACGTCCCCGAGCAAAGCACCAAGGAGCCCGAGTCTCTGCTGACACCCCATCGATCACCCCCCCCTCTTCGTGGGGCTGGAACGAGCATCTGCACACGAGTGTTTCACAGGCTCATCTGGCTTCGGCACAGCCGATTTACTGCCGAGCCCCGGCAGGGATGCGGCGGGCCGATCAGTCAATGCTAGCGCACAAGTCCCTGAGTCAGCAGGTATCGAGCGCAGGGTGAGGCCATCCATCTCGGGGAAGCTCGGCTGCCTCGGGAGAAAGGGAAGAAACCTGCTCACCAGCATCGTGCATAAAAAGGCTCCATTGGGGACCGCTGTGGTGGTGGTTTGCAGGCTGGTCCTTCACCGCTACAGCGGTGGCAAGATGCCCAGGGCTGGTGCAGCCACCCACGGCAGCGGGCCCTGGCGACGTGTCGGCCCCTCTGTGGCACCGTCCCTTCCAGTGACAAAGCGTGGTGACACGGTTGCCTGTGGGTAAAACCGGGATCCTGCACCCCGCCGTCACAGCCTGTGCTTGGGGTAGACGGGGGGGGAGAAGGTGAAGGGGTGTCCAGACGGCATCGCAGCACCCAGCGTCATCGAACCCTTCCCTGGCGGCATGGCTCCGTGGGGTTCATCCAAGAAAAGGCTTTTTTTTCCCCCAGTTCCCAGCACGATGTGGCTCCAGGTCCACCAGCGAAGGGGATCCCAGCCCACCAGCACCTCCCCAAAGAGAGACCCAAGGTGCCCCGGGGTTACCCCAGTTCGCAGGTGGCTTCCCCACGGCACCCAGAACCGGGGCACTGCCCGCCCCGCGGTGCCCAGAGGCCACGGGCGATGGGCTCCCTGCGCTCCCCGCGGGCCGGGACCGGAGCTCGCCCGTGGGCGAGCACTAGATGGCAGCAGACGCGCGCACACGGTCCCGGCCCCGGGCGGCGGCGGAGCCGCGTCCTCCGGGGCCCCGGGGCCGCCGGCGGGGACAGCCCGGGCTGAGCCCGGGG